GACTCCCAGTGACCTTGCCTATGGATGATCCCCTCCCCTTTAAGTGTGGGAGGAACCTGTGACTATGAGGAGATATTACTCCCATGATTCTGTTACATTACATGGCAAAAGGGAGATGATCTGGGTTGGCCTCATCAAATCATATGAGCCTTTAAAGTCAGAGTTTTTTCTGGCTGGTAGCAGGAGAGTAAGTCAGGTTCGAAGCACAAGGGCGATTCAACACCCTGTTGCTGGCATGAAGATGGAGGGGAGTATGTGGCAAGGAATGCAGGAAGCCTTCAGGAGCTGAGAGTGGTCCTCACTGCCAGCAAGACAAAGGGGACTACCATCCTACAACCACAAGGAACTGAATTTGGCTAACAATTTGAATAAGCTAGAAAGCAGGTTCTTCCCTAGATCCTCTAGCTAAGAGCCCAAGCTGGCCCACACCTTGATTTAGGCTTTATGACACCTGGAGCAGAGGAACCAGGTGAGCCTACCTGGATTTCTGATATATGGACTGTGAGCTAATAATTTGTGTTGCTTTAAGCTACTACATTTATGGTAATTTGTTACATAGCAATAGAAAACCACATATGACTCCTGCCATCCTAATACCAGTTGGGGTGGCAAGGAGGAAGGAGAGGAAAATTACATTTCTTTACATAATTGCCCTTCAAAATTAGTTGCCCTTTTATTAGCAGGACATAACTGTGGTTCATTGTATGAACAACCTCAGCTAGATGATGGGAAACATTTCTGCCCCTTTCTACTGGTTGTCCCAGTTTCTCTGATTATTACCAATTGGCCATCAGTTCCCTCCATCTGGCAGGTGTCCAAATGATATTTCTCCAAAGACTTGTGGCATGGTCCTGGTAGGAAGTTGAGCAAGGGTATGTGAATGAAGCTCAACTTCTTTTGCCCTAGTCCAGCACATACTACCAATAGATATCCTATGTCTTTTGTTTCCAGGGTTCCATTACCCAGGTAGTGGCCATCTTAGGAGTTACCAGCAGAACTGCTTATACTCCTTCCATCTTCTCCAGGAACCACTTAATCTGGGGGAAACTCCAACAACCTTTTCACCCCAAAGAGTGGGGATGCTGCTCAACCTCACTACCTTTTTTCTGCCAGCTGAGTGGCTCTGTAACTATCAGACAAGATATGATCACAGATCTCAGATTTCAGTCAGCTGGGAGATTATAAACGCTTCATTCCACCAAAGGATGACTTCTATTGTTACTTGTCCTTTCTTAAAACTTTCAGTCATGGCTGGGTGCAGTGGCACACGCCTATAATCTCAGCACTTTGGGAGGCTGAGGTGGGTGGATCACTTGAGGTCAGGAGTTCACGACCAGCCTAATATAGTGAAACATGTCTCTACTAAATACAAAAAAAATTAGCTGGGTATGGTGGCACATGCCTGTAATCCGAGCTATTTGGGAGGCAGAGACAGGAGAATCGCTTAGTACCTGGGAAGCGGAGGTTGCAGTGAGCCGAGATCGCGCCACTGCACTCCAGCCTGGGCAATAAGAGCAAAACTTCGTCTCAAAAAAAAAAAAAAAAAAAAGCTCTCAGTGGTAAAAGTTATCAAACCAGTTCAGCCTGTATTGCCTCTGTGGGAACCAGAGTCTCAGGCCAAGAATTGGGCCTTATTTGAACTTAGCTTTAGAGAACTGAATGTTCTTAATGGGGCAATATTCTTACTAAAATCTCTGAAATACTTGTTATCTTCTAAGAGCAGGAACTCAATTATGCCCCCATATCATCATGTAATACTTTTCCTGTTAAAAATTCAGTTCATAAATGTCCAAAAAAAGAGATCTTTTGTAACTAAGTGGAATTTTATCTGGGTAAAACAAGGAAGGTCAGTATTAGAAATCTATCAATATAATCTCACCACATAGACAGATTAAAGGAGAAAAGCCACATGGTGATTTCTAGATGCATAAAAAAGCAGGGTACAAAACTGAACACTCATTCATGCTTTTTTATAACCTCAAAAAACCAGGAATAGAAGGAAACTTTTATGTAACAAAAAGCATCTACCTAAAATTTACAGCAAACATCACATTTTAAAAGCATTTTTACTAATGTCATGAATAAGATGAGAATGTCCACTATCATTGCTACTATTCCATTCTAATGGTTGTAAGAAAATGAAAAAGAGGTTTAAGGAAGAGACAAGTTAGTGATTTTTGCAAATGATGTTATCTACAAAGAAAACCCAAGAGCATCTACTGAAAAACTAATAGTACTGTATAATAAAAGAAAATGCAGCCTGTAATCCCAGCACTTTGGGAGGCCAAGGTGAGCGGATCATGAGGTCAGGAGTTTGAGACCAGCCTGGCCAACATGGCGACACCCCATCTGTAGTAAAAATACAAAAATTAGCCAGGCGTGGTGTCACGTGCCTGTGGTCCCAGCTACTCAGGAGGCTGAGGCAGAAGAATTCTTTGAACCAGGGAGGCAGACACTGTAGTGAGCCGAGATTATGTCACTGCACTCCCATCTGGGTGATAGAGTGAGACTCCGTCTCAAAAAAAAAAAAAAGTAGTATTGCTGGCTGGCTATAAGATCAAAACACAAAAATGAGTAATTGTTTCATATGTCAGCAATAACCAAATAGAAAATAAAATTTTAAAAGGTATAAACAGCAATAAAACTTAAGCACCTCAGAAAAAAGCTAGCCAAACATACAAGAGCTTTAAGGAGGAAACGATAAAGCATTATTAAAGGATGTTAAGAGAGACCTAAAAACTGGAGTGATATATCATGTTCTTATCTGGGAAGAATTCATACTGAAAAGAAGTCAAATTAGTCTAACAATCCAATGCAACGCAAAGCAAAATCCCAAGAGGATTTTTTTTGTGAATTAGACAAACTGGTTCTAAAAGTTAACATCCAGGAAGAGCCAAAACAATATTGAAAAAGATAAGGAGAGCTTTTCCTGTTACATATTGAAACTTACTCTAAGGCTGACTATTCTCTTATAGGTATGCAGTCTACTGTCCCTGTTGTTTATGGATTCATACATTTACAGTGAATGTATAAAACACAGACTTAGTGGACAGGCATCAAATTGATCATTATCAAGAAGAGGGGAATGGGATAAAGAATAACAGTGAAATTTTAATTTTTTAAGCAGTTTCATTGAAAAAATATATTTAGGCCAGGCTCAGTGACTCACACCTGTAATCCCAGCATTTTGGGAGGCCAAGGCAGGTGGATTGCTTGAGGCCAGGAGTTCGAGACCAGCCTGGCCAACATGGTAAAACCCCGTCTCTACTAAAAAATACTAAAAATTAGCCAGGCATGGTGGCACAATCTCGGCTCACTTCATTCCAGCATGGGCAACAGAACAAGACTCTGTTTCAAAAATAAATAAATAAAAATGAAAAAAATATGTTTGATGCAGGAATGACAAATGTGAATTCTGGGTAGTGGTTTCTTTTTTTCTTTTTTTTTTCTTAAGAGCAGAACTTGAGGTGGTGGTTTCTTTTGTTGAATATTGTTCTGTGAATATTTCTGCATGTTTCAGTCAAATTAAACAAAAAGTTGATTAATTTTCAAAGTAAAAACAAAAAGTCTTTGTATCCACTATTTGCTGGGATTTTGCTTTCTGTTTGTTTATTTATTTATTTATTTATTTATTTATTTATTTATTGAGATGGAGTCTCGTTCTCATTCTGTCTTCCAGGTTGGAGTGCAGTGGCACGATCTCTGCCTCCCAGGTTTAAGCAATTCTCCTGGCTCAGCCTCCAGAGTAGCTGGGATTACAGGCGTGCACCACCATACCCGGCTAATTTTTTGTATTTTTAGTAGAGACAGGGTTTCACCATGCTGGCCAGGCTGGTCTCGAACTCCTGACCTCATGATCCACACGCCTCAGCCTCCCAAAGTGCTGGGATTACAGACGTGAGCCACCGCACCTGGCCTATTTTTTACTTTTTTATTTTCCAGGACAGAGTCTTGCTCTGTTGCCCAGGCTCGAGTGCAGTGGCACAATCTCGGCTCACTGCAACATCTGCCTCCCAGGTTCAAGCGATTCTGCTGCCGCAGCCTCCCAAGTAGCTGGGATTACAGGCTTGTACCACCACGCCTGGCTAATTTTTGTATTTTTAGCATGGACGGGGTTTCACATGCTGGTCTCAAACTCCTGACCTTCAGTGATCTGCCTGTCTTGGCCTCCCAAAGTACTGGGATTACAGGCATGAGCCACTGTGCCCAGCCCAGATTTTGCCTTTTAAATAACACTATTCAGTTCCAGATGTTTGGAAAGACATATGGAATTTGAACTACTTCTGTAATTTTAGATAGTCTCATAAATATTGTGAAACTCAGCATTCTAAACACGGTTTCTGAGCTAAATCTTGTTTCGTTTTCACCATGCTTTAAAGATTAGTAGTGGCCAGGCACAGTGGGTCACGCCTGTAATCCCAGCACTTTGGGAGGGCGAGGTGGGTGAATCACCTGAGGCTAGGAGTTCGAGACCAGCCTGGCCAATATGCTGAAACCCTGTCTCTACTAAAAATACAAAAAGTAGCCGGGTATGGTGGTGCAAGCTTGTAATCCCAGCTACTCAGGAGGCTGAGGCAGGAGAATCACTTGAACCCAGGAGGTGGAGGCTGCAATGAGCTGAGATCATGCCACCACTCCAACCTGGGTGACAGAGTGAGACTGCATCTCAAAAAAAGCAAGAAAGAAAAAAGATTAGTTGTGACTAATAAAGTATGAAATGGCCCTTGGGTCAAGATAAGTCTATCGTAGACTTTTTTTTTTTCCTTTGAGACATGGTCTCACTCTGTCACACAGGCTGGAGTGCAGTGGCAGGATCACACACAACCTATCCAGGCTCAAGCCATCCTCCCATCTCTGGCTTCCAAGTAGTTAGGACTACAGGTGAGTGCCACCATGCCTGGCTAATTTTTTTGCATTTTGTAGAGACAGGGTTTTGCCATGTTGCTCAGGCTGGTCTCAAACTCTTGGCCTTAATAGATCCTCCCACCTTGGCCTCCCAAAATGCTGGGATTACAGGTGTGAGCCTTGTTTTGCAGAGTTTATGTCCCAAAGAATATAAAGACACTCTAAGTATCTCAACCTCTTGAAACACCTCTTGGGCATCAAGAACAACGCTACTAAAAATAAGCAGTTTGCCTCTAGAGAAACTTCAAGTAAGCACAACAAAGGGCAAAGTGACACAGGATAACTGTGGAATGCAAGCAAACAGCAGCAGCTGGTCTGTATTTTTTTAAATGGTAAAGTCATAAACAATAGCAACTGCTTTTAGAGTGAGCAGATGGTTTGCTTTCTTTTTTTTTTTTCAAAGGGAACTCACTTTTTAAGTGATGAAGACATGCACTTGGGGTGGATAGGTGTGAGTTCATTTGTGTTTTGAAATCCCAAATTAACGAGCATGATAAACCGTTATTTCTGGCCCTGTCTGACTCTCTGAGTACTTGGTGGGTTCCCCCTAACCTTCTCCTAACCCCCACCCTTTCCCTTTCCATTGACTTGGGACAGTCCTTGTCGAAGTGCCAATCACAGTGGGAAGGGGAGAAGGGGGGAGGTCACAGTGCATGGGGTTCAAGGTCACAGTGGCGGAGCAACGGGGATCACCGGGCAAGTAAGTCAGGTTCCCGCTGCTCAAGTCCAGCTGTCCGCCACGAAAGTGCAACCCTTGGCGGACGACGCAGGAAGCGTTGACGCGGCAGTCGCGCCATATCTTCTTGCCTGCATTTATCTGCGCTGTTTGAAGTCTTGTGACCCATCAGGACCCAGAGGCTGTCTGATCACATTATTGGGCTGCCTGCTGTCTTCGGGTTGGGAGATCCTGGTTAGCCTGAAGGGAAAAAGATCAGAGAAAGGCCTATCGAGGATGGGTTTCTCCTGCTTCTCCTCCGGGCCGGCGCTGCCCAGGATCCGCTTCCGAGTCTCGGCGTACTCGGCCTCCCGCTGTGCCAGGGACTTGACTGGAAGGGCGGGTCTGCTAGCGGACCTGGGGCTGTTGACCACACCGTTGCTGGTGGGCCTCTTGAGGATGCGGTGGAGGGGGTACCTGGGGAAAACTATCGTCCTGAATCACCATGGGCACTTTGGGAGATTTGGATTTCCTGCTGTTTTTGTGTGATCTTCATTTTTTTTCCAGACGTCTATTTCCCCGCTGTCTACCGCCTCCTCCCAGCTCTCAGCGACCTCCTCATATTCCATCTTACTCGCCACTTTCCAGATCGCTTGCTTTCTTATTCCGCATTTTCTCTGACTTTTGCAGTATTCAATATTATTACTTGATTCTGATTTTTCAGACATCACTATATGGCCCTTGGCTTTTGGGTCGTTCCTCTCATTCCTTTGCTGTTTCAAGCTCTTTTCCCAGCCTAAGCTTTTTACCACTGAATTCTGTTCTGTGACGCATCACTTAAAACTAACCCAACTTTTCATTCCCTCCATACTTTTTTTTGGTAAGCAGTATTATCATGCTTTAGGTGGACACTGAGTCATACCGCTGTGGTAGTGCTGGTACACATAGTTTTGAATACCAGGTTCTTGAGTGAATCCTTTTTGCTTCTCTCTCTCCCCCCACCCCCGCTTCTCCCTTCTGCCTTCATTTCTGCCCCTTCTTTTCTGGTTCCATTAGAAAAGGACTAATCTTATCAGTTCTGCCTTTTGTTTCTACTCTAATAACTTTGTCAAGAGAATTTTTTTCAAAGCACAAGGCCAATGAGAAGGGGGAAAGTCGGTCCACAAGGCAGCTGGCCCGACTATTCTGAGTTTGAATCAACTCCTGGTGGTCCCGTTAAAATACAGTTTGAAGCAAATCACCTGTTTTTATGCTCCTAATATCTACTCTGTCTAAAGCCCAAATTTCCTTGCTTGGCATTTAAGAAGACTCCAAGTTCTTAAAACTTCTTCTTGACTTTCATGCAAGTCAAACTGATTTATTGTAACTCAAACAGCCCTCTTTATATTTTCCTTTCTGTATTTTTTGATAGTTTTCTTGTGCCTGGAATATTTTCTGCGTTTATTTAAGTCTCACCATCTTTCAAGACACAAAATATGTGTGATCTTCTCTGAGGCCTTTGTGAACTGCCTCCAGCGTTCACTAAGCAATTAATTATGTCTCTTAACTTTTATAGCACAAACCTATTCGCTCACTTGATATTTAACAAATATCAACCTCTATCACTTATCTCTTTTTTTTTCTTCCGAGATGGAGTCTTGCTCTCCACCCAGGCTGGACTCCAGTGGCGCGATCTCCGCTCACTGCAACCTCCGCCTCCCACGATCAAGCGATTCTTCTGCCTCAGCCTCCCGAGTAGCTAGGATTATAGGTGCCCACCACTGGGCCCGGCTAATTTTTGCGTTTTTAGTAGAGACAGGGTTTCACCATGTTGGCCAGGCTGGTCTTGAACTACTAACCTCGTGATCTGCTCACCTCAGCCTCCCAAAGTACTGGGATTACAGGCGAGAGCCACCGTGCCCAGCGTTATCACTTATCTTTCTTTTCATGCTAACATTTTCTCACTGCTTGAGATTTTCTTTCATCCAATTTCAAGCACTGAGTCTAACAATTAGAAACCCCACTGTATTTGATCTGATGGAGATTACCTTTTTAAAAGCCACATATTAAATCTCTTAGGTTAATAATATTGACAATCAACTTCAATCAATTGAGTGACCACTATGTTTAAGGAAGGTTACTTTCTGGTAGGCTGGGAAGCAGGAGAAGGGAAGGATATAACTTTATTAAAAAAGCTGCAGAAGGGAAGGATATAACTTTATAAAAAAAGGCCCTTGTTTACAAAGAGCTAATCACCTACTGGCCAAAGAAAGGTGTTCCTTCTTTGCAACGGCTGTGTTTTTGGGTTTAGCTAACTCAATTCTTTATGTCCTCAACTTATGAGACCGCATCAAAAACGTTTTTGCCACACCTCTGTGGGCAAGTAGGTGAGTCAGAATGAGTGCATAACATATAAATATATATTTTAATGATAATGAATGTGTAGATTAACAAACCCAAACTTTTTTTTTTTTTTGAGAAACAGTCTTGCCCTGTCGCCCAGGCTGGAGTGCAGTGGCATGATCTTGGCTCGCTGCAGCCTCCGCCTCCTGGGTTCACGGGATTCTCCCGCCTCAGCCTCCCGAGTAGCTGGGATTATAGGTGCCCGCCACCATGCCTGGCTAATTTTTGTAGTTTTTAGTAGAGACGGCGTTTCCCATGTTGGCCATGGCTGGTCTTGAACTCCTGACCTCAAGTGATCCACCGGCCTCGGCCTACCTAAAGTGATGGGATTACAAGCGTGAGCCACCGCGCCTGGCCAAACCCAAACATTCTAAAAGTAACCGCTCCCCTCCCCACCAACGGTAACCAGCGTCTTTGTTCTCCAACCACAGCAGCTGTATGCACCGGTGTATAAGCCTGCCTTAAGTGCTATTTTTAATCTTTATCAAAAACAGGCCTTGACTCATTTGTGTACAACTCCAGCGGCTAGTGCAGTGGGCTTAACGTATTAAACAGCTGTTAATTTTGGTTTCTTTTTGGTAACAGCGACACGGAGATCCGCATTTGTCGCAGTTTCCACCACGGGCGGGAAGTGTAAATACAAGAAATACAAAAATAGCGCAACGGCTAAAGGAGTATTCCCAGTGCCAAGCCAGGCAGGCGCCGCGCCCGGGCCGAGCCCCACCCGCCCAGTTAGCGGCCAAGACCCCCACCCCGCCTCAGAGTACGCCGCGCCCGCGGGGCAACACTCCCAACTCCATCTTCCCGGAGACGGGGGGGCCCAGCCCCTGACCCAATTGGCGGAAGCGGGGCCGGGTGTGTGCGCGCGCACAAATGCCCGGATGCGCCGCGACGCCCCGCGCACTCCCCTCCGGCGGTAGGGGGCGCGCACCGCGGCAGCGCGGCTAGCTAGGCTGCTCGTTGGGCCTTTCCGGCCCTGTGTGTCGGGAAGATGGGGCAAGAAGCCGAGCCCGAGGGGCGCCCCCGACCCCTCTGACCGAGATCCTGCTGCTTTCGCAGCCAGGAGCCCCGTCCCTCCCCGGATTAGTGCATTCGAGCGCCCAGTGCCCTGGCCCCGAGAGTGGAATGGTCCCCGAGGCCCAGGACGTAGTGCTTCCGCGGGCCCCGTGAAGGAAACTGGGGAGTCTCGAGGGACCCCCGACTCCAAGCGCGAAAACCCCGGATGGTGAGGAGCAGGTACCGGCCCGGCAGCGACCGGTCACTTCTGGTTCTGGGCTGTGACGGTGTCCTCTGCATCGCTGGTTCCCAGCCTCTGCCCGCTCGCAGCCTTTGTGCGGTTTGTGGCTGGGGGCTCGGGGCGCGGGGCACGTGGCTTTGCGGAGGTTTTGTTGGACTGGGGCTAGGCAGTCGCCGCCAGGGAGGAGGGCGGGGTTTCGGACGGCTCTCGCGGCGGTGGGGGGCGGGAGTGGTTCGGAGGTCTCCGCGGGAGTCCAGGGTAAAGGTCACGTGGGCTGGGGGCTGCAGGGCCGCCTCGGCGGCGGGGTCCGGGTAAATCGCAGGGGCCTGTCGGGTCGCTCTTGTGAATGCTGCGCGTAGTCTGGGCGGGATTGGGCCGGTTCCATGGGCAGGTTGACTCAGCTTTTCCTCTTGAGCTGGTCAAGTTCAGACACGTTCCGAAACTGCAGTAAAAGGAGTTAAGTCCTGACTTGTCTCCAGCTGGGGCTATTTAAACCATGCATTTTCCCAGCTGTGTTCAGTGGCGATTGGAGGGTAGACCTGTGGGCACAGACGCACACCACTTTTTCTCTGCTGATCCAGGTAAGCACCGACTTGCTTGTAGCTTTAGTTTTAACAAAGGCGTTGTTTATGTCCTTTATATATGATTAATTTTTCGCAGATGTTTCATGATTTCCAGTTTTCATCGTCTTTTTTTTCCTTCTTGTAGGCAAATGTGCAATACCAACATGTCTGTACCTACTGATGGTGCTGTAACCACCTCACAGATTCCAGCTTCTGAACAAGAGACCCTGGTTAGTATTTTTGTCTCGTGTAACTTTTAATAATTTATTTTATGAAGTGATAAACTAAATTTCATATACCTCAATTATAGCATGGCTCTGTAAATGACATTGTATGTGCATAACTTAAAGTGTGCTACCTCAGGCATGACTGCGTGGAGTTAAAAACTGTTAAGAACTGGTCAGTATTTTCTTAGCCCTTTGCCACATAGGCTTTAAAAATTAGTTCCATTACATTGTTAAGCGTGGTTGAAGTTATGTTTGTTATGTGACTGATTTTTTTTTTCCTTTTTGACCTCCCAGTATTTAATTTTTAAAAATGATTTCTAAAAGTCACAAAAATTATTCATGCTTGTTTTAAAGATTTTTGTCATTAGAGAAATTTTAAAGTAAAACCTGAAAATTCCAGTCTTTTTGCTCCATGTTCCCTTTTAGATTTTTTCTGTGTGCATACCCACATATATTTACATTTGAATTTAAATCTATGTTATTGTCCGGTTTGTTGTACTAACAAGATGAAACTATAGTTGTTCTGTGACTTGCATCCTTGTCAATAAAGTCTACAGAATTCTTTTTAATGGCTGCATAGTATTCCATAGCATGAGTATACCATTTTAAAAATTATGCCTTTACTGACAGCTTTTTAAAAATTGCCTCCTGTTTTTGAGTATTACAGATAGTGCTGCTTTGTACATCCATCCCGTGTGACTATTTCTGTAAGAAAGATTTTATGGAATTATAGGCTGGGTGCGGTGGCTCACCCTTGTAATCCTAGCACTTTGGAAGGCCAAGGCGGGCCGATCACCTGAAGACTGCAGGCAGTTAAGACTCTGCATGGGAATGTCTTATCATACAACATTGTCTGGATGGTGGTGGTGGCCTATCAATCCCAGCTGCTGAGGAGGCTGAGGCACGGAGACTCACTGGCACACCTGGGGAGGCTAGGGTTGCGGTGAGCCAAGATTGCGCATTTTCTCCAGCCTGGGCGATAAGGTGAACTGTCTTAACAAAAAAAGACAAAAAGAAAAATTTTATAGAATATGAACTCCCTGATCCAAATTTTTTTTTTTTTTCTTTTGAGAGCGAGTCTTGCTCTGTTGCCAGGCTGGAGTGGCACTGGCGGCAATCTCAGCTCACTGCAAGCCCGCCTCCCACAGTTTACGCCGATTCTCGCCTGCTCAGCCTCCGGAGTACGAATGGGACTACAGGCGCCGCACCACTCGCCTCTTGGGGGGGGGGCCTAAAGTTTTTTTGTATTTTTTTGGTAGGAGAGGGGTTTCAACCGTGTTAGCCAGCTGGTCCTCGATCTCCTGACCTCGTGATCCGCCCGTCTCGGCCTCCCTAAAGTGCTGGGATTACAGGCTTGATGAGTCCTAAATTTTACTCATATTTGATTGCTGCTGGTAACTTGCTCACCAAAAGGCTCTAACAGTTTCACTCCTGCCAACACTGAATATTACCAATCTTTAATTATTATTACTTTTTTTTTTTTTTGATAAAAGGTACTGTGCCATTGTTTAAATTCATTTTTCCCTAGTTTCTTGGTGAGACTGGGCACCTTTCCTTTTTTTTTGAGACAGAGTTTCACTCTTGTTGCCCAGGCTGGAGTGCAATGGCGAGATCTTGGCTCACTGCAACCTCTGCCTCCCAGGTTCAAGCGATTCTCCTGCCTTAGCCTCCCAAGTAGCTGGGGTTACAGGCACGCGCAATCACGCTCAGCTAATTTTGTATTTTTAGTAGAGATGGGGTTTTTCCACGTTGGTCATGCTGGTCTTGAACTCCCAACTTCATGTCATCTGCCTGCCTCGGCCTCCCAAAGTGCTGGGATTACAGGCGTGAGTCACTGCACCAGGCCTCCATTTTGTTGTCATTTGTTTCTTCTGGGATTTGCCTCGTCTTCTCTGGCCATTTTCCTTTTGGTTCTTTAAAATTTTTCTTAGTAATTGGAGTAGCTCTATGTGTTTCAAGTATATTTAACTTTTGTTGCTTACTAATGTAGTATTTGCTTTTATGTTGTCTTTTCCCCATTGAGAACAATTCTATGAAGTAAAATTTGTTGGCTTTTGAATTTCTTATCATGCTTTGGAAGAACTCTCCTATCTTGCAAATATATTCCTATATTTTCTTCTAGATTTAAATTTTTTAGATATTTAGATCTTTACCTATAATTTATCTTCCTGTTCTTCAATGTAAGATTACGAATGCCATTATCTTTTATAGCCATTTCTCATTAATACATGTCTTTTAAGTCACTAATATACTGATGGCTTTCCATTACAGAATTTTTTTTTTTTTTTTGTGAGACTGAGTCTTGATCTGTTGCCCAGACTGGAGTGCAGTGGCATGATCTCAGCTCACTACAACATCCGCCTCCTGGGTTCAAGCAGTTCTGCTGCAGCCTCCTGAGTAGCTGGGATTACAGGCACCCACCACCACACCCGGCTAATTTTTGTATTTTTAGTAGAAATAGGGTTTCACCATGTTGTCCAGGCTGGTCTTGAACTTCTGACCTCGTGATCCACCTGTCTTGGCCTCCCAAAGCGCTGAGATTACAGGTGTGAGCCACTGTGCCTGGCCTACACCTAAGTAATTTTTGTGTATTTAATAGAGACAAAGTTTCGCTGTGTTGGCCAGGCTGGTCTCGAACTTCTGACTTCAAGTGATCTGCCTGCCTCAGCCTCCCAAAGTGCTGGGATTACAGGCCTGAGCCACCACACCCATCTTCCATTACAGATTTTTACTTAGAGTTATTTTATCTAATTTGAAGCTAATATAGCATATATTAAAAATTCAGAAGAAAAAAGATAATTTTTAAATCTTTTTTGAGAGAATTCATTATTTTGCCTGAAAGTAAAGTGCATATATATGCACAGTTAAAAAAAAGTGCAATCAGAAAAATTAATAATTCAATATGTATTTTAAATTTTTCAGTTGTTTAATATTTGTTTTATTGATTAGCTGGAAATAGGCAATTTTTTAAAAATCTGTTTTTAAGACACTCCCAGTGGGGGTGCTGTCAGATTTTAAACAGCTGTCAGATTTAGACACAGGACTGGGGCATATCAAAGAGAGGTGCAGAGGTACCAGTTTGTGTGGGTGGTGGCAAGCTGTAAAGATATTGAGTTTTGCAGATTTTGATAAAAGGAAGAGAGAAAATGCATATAAGTACATTACATTCCCCTCCCCCATGGCAGTTATTTTTCTCAATACCATTTGTAAAACTTCTAGATAAGTGGCAGGCAAACTTTAGCCTGTTGGCCAGCTTTGCCCTGTTGCCTGTTTTTGTTTTAATTTTAAAATTTTTTTGTAGAGGTGGTGTCTCTCAGTATGGCCCAGGCTGGTCTTGAACACCTAGCCTTAAGCGAACCTCTAGCACTCAGTCTCCCAAAGTGCTGGGGTTTATAGGCATGAGCCACCTCACCCAGCCAGCTTCCTTTCTTTCTGTAAAGAAAATTTTACTGGAATGCAACCATGCCTGTTGGTTTACATAGTAACTATACTTTTTACTTGGATAGAACCATTTGTATGAAAAGCTTAAAATACTTAACAGTCTGGCTCTTTACAGAAAAAAATTGACCCGTAATCTAGTTGGCAGGCTCCTTGAGTATAGGTCATATGTCTTATTTGTAATTTTTTTTGCAGTACCTACTACTGTCCAGTGCATAGTATTAGCTCAGTAAATGTTTGTCAAGTAGATATTTGAAATGTAGACCAACTAAGAGGCAGCATGATATAGTAGGAAGAACATGGTGAGTTGTAGTTGAGGGACCTGGGTTGGTATGTCTGATCTGTTCTTAATTACTCTTGTCAGCTTAGGTTAGTTAGTTAAGTTCTCTAGCTTTCAGGAACCTAATCTTTAGAGAAGATTGATAACAGGATCCACTCTAAAGATTTATTCATTTCTCTTTGATTCTCTAAGTTAGCTTGCAAGAAGCTCATTGAATCAGTACGGTAAGCTCATTGGATCTTAAGAATTTATGGTTGTTTGTAAGGCAGTAAGCAGGTAATATAAATAGCTGAAGGAAAAAGTAATTTTTCCTGTCTTGGATTGGATGCTATCTGTGATCACAACTAATGATACTTGATGATTCCATGATACTTGCATAATAATTAGATCCTCCCCAGCATTTTTTCCAAACCCCCTTTATTGAAGTTGATCGATATGTTTGCTGCAGGGCCTATAGTTCTGGGATAATTTTGGAAGTATAATAACAGCTCTTTTCTCTTTATAGGTTAGACCAAAGCCATTGCTTTTGAAGTTATTAAAGTCTGTTGGTGCACAAAAAGACACTTATACTATGAAAGAGGTAAGCTGAATCAAGAGATAACTAGTATCTTACTAGTTACATGTAGCTATACTTAAAGTTTTCAAGACTGTGGGGAGAAATTGGCCATATAGAAGGATTTTTCATTAAGCAGCAACATTTAATTTTGTGGTCATTTGGACTATATTTTAAAGCTGAAAATTCTAATTATACTCGAGTTTCATTTCTCAGCTAGGAACTCAGAGAAGCAGAAGCCCTGTAGGGGTGCTTGACCATTTTATGCTGTGAACCGTTTGGTAGACTGGTAAAAGCCGCCTTAGACTGATAACTCCTTCTAAGAATCATGTTTTTAAATATATGAAATAAAATGTATAGAATTACAAAGGAAACATACTAAAATACGGTTACCAAAATAGTAGTTTGTGATATATGTGCTGTTTTTATTAACACAATAAGTACTAAGATTTAGAAGCAGCTATAATAAATATAGTGTTTTTTTGTTTTTTTTTTTTTTTGAGATGGAGTCTCGCTCTGTCACCCAAACTGGAGTGCAGTGGCATGATCTTGGCTCACTGCAACCTCCACCTCCTAGATTTAAGCCACTCTTCTGCCTCACCCTCCCACGCAGCTGGGATTACAGGCACCTGCCACCATGCCTGGCTAATTCTTTGTATTTTTAGTAGAGACAGGCTTTTGCCATGTTGGCCAGGCTGGTCTTGAACTCCTAGCCTCAGGTGATCCACCTGCCTTGGCCTCCCAAAATGCTGGGATTATAGGCATAAGCCACCATACATGGCCAATAAATATAATTTTGATTTAGTGAGGAATATAAGTCATATTTTGAAATGTTTGCCATAAGCACAGTATGATATGAAAACACCTGTGATTTTTGTTGGTGATGAAATCACAGGTATTAATACTGTTGTGATTTGTTGCCTACATTTATAATCGAAGGAAAAGCTAAATTCTAGTTAGAAGTTTGTGAAAATAAGGATAGAATTTTTTTCCCATCCAAATTAATGGACCCCCTGAATTCTATCCAAGGACTTCCTGGGCATCCCTGGATCCCAGGTTAAGAACTTCTGCACTAGAGATACATGAGTACAGTATACTGATCTTTCTGGGATAGAGGTGAGCTGATTCATGACCATATATTCTATTTAATGGATCCAGCATTTTAGTGCATTCCCCAGCTTTAAATTTGTGCACAGAAGCATGATTTTCATGCTTTTCAGTGAGAGATTGAGCCACCTTAGGCAAAATTTCAGTGTGATTGAAATATGCCTATTCTCTCTCCCACTTAGTTTGTGGGACTCAGATTACTTAAAACATTAAAGTTTTTTTCCTACAACAGTATAGTGGGGCAGGAAGAGCTTCCGTATCCTTTTCCTCTCCAGCTATGCTTTTAGAAACTTCCTTAAGGGATATTTGGTGGAATAAATCTAAGTTCTCTTCCTTTTTCCTTTCCCACTGCTGGACAACAATCTGTCCAGTCACATAAGAATATTCCTTTAAGACTGATGCCTGCTTAGCCAGTTAAATCCAAAGACAGTGCTTGTAGGGAAGTGCCAGGTTAAATGGTATTTTTAGGGCTAATTTGGGATTGACCTTACTATCATTGTATAATCAGTTAAGGAAACAAAAAAGTATGGATTTAGCAGTAGATAGAAATGAGAAAATTGGCCAAGGCCATCATAAAGACTTAGAATGCTTATGCTAAACTATGTAACAGTAATGTATGTATTGTCTGATGTAGTTCTCAGTTATAGGATCTTTGTTCTGGGGCACACAGGAAGGTAGTGAAAGCTAGTATGGGTAGTAAAAAGAGCATTGGATTAAGAGTCAGAAGAGCTGGGGCCAGTTTCTTCTTTTTTATGTTTATTTTTTTTTGAGAGAAGTCTCTCTGTCGCTCAGGCTGGAGTGCAGTGGCGCAATCTCGGCTCACTGCAGCCTCCACCACCTCCTGGGTTCAAGCATTCTCCTGCCTCAGCCTCCGGAATAGCTGGGATTACAGGTGTCCACCACTGTGCCCGGCTAATTTTTGTATTTTTAATAGAGATGGGACCAGGGTGGTCTTTATCGCCTGACCTGGTGATCCATCCGCTTCGGCCTCCCAAAGTGCTGGGATCACAGGTGTGAGCCACTGCACCCAGCCAAAAGTAGCTTCTAAGTACAAAATGGTGGTTGTTCTACATAGTTGTGGATATGGTTGCTGGTTGTTTACCCCATTCAGATAAATAGTATATTATTAAATGTATTTAAAACTAACATTTAGTTTTCTTTAATGCTCAGAAATCATATTTCTATTTCAGGTTCTTTTTTATCTTGGCCAGTATATTATGACTAAACGATTATATGATGAGAAGCAACAACATATTGTATATTGTTCAAATGATCTTCTAGGAGATTTGTTTGGTGTGCCAAGCTTCTCTGTGAAAGAGCACAGGTAATTCTTCAGTTTAGTCCATTGTAAAAAGCCCGTTGGGCTAACATTTCAGTTCACCTCTACCCTCATTCACTTTTGTCAGAGAAAAACTGTTAAAACATATAAAAGACATGCTGAAATTTAATTTTTTAGCTCTGTGGCATAGTATTTGAAAACCTGAGCTCTGGCATCTTATAAACCAGTGTTTGAAACCTAGCCCAGTCATTTACTACTTTTGTGACTAGGTAGATTAACCTCTATAAACCTGTTTCCCCATTTATAAAATAGGGATAATTAAATACTTCATGTGGAGATTAAAGCTCTTGAAAAGAGACGTTGTATAAAAAAAGCATAGTTTTTGGCACATACCAAGCATTCAAGTATTAGTCGTAGCTATTATAAATTTTTATTCCAGTCACTCCCAGAAACAGTATACCACCAAGTAGTAAAGGCTTAAATTTGAGCCTTAGATATTTTGGAGATCATTTTCGTGGTCACTTATCATTATGGCACTTAACCAGCAGAATTTAACCCAGGTATTCTAGAATTAGGCCTGGCGCAGTGGCTTACACCTGTAATCCCAGGACTTTGGGAGGCCGAGGCGGGTGGATCATCTGAAGTCAGGAGTTCGAGACCAGCCTGACCAACATGGAGAAACCCCATCGCTACTAAAAATAAAAAATTAGCCAGGCGTGGTGGTGCATGCCTGTAATCCCAGCTACTCAGGAGGCTGAGGCAGGAGAATTGCTTGAACCCAGGAGGTGGAGGTTGTGTTGAGCCGAGATCGCGCCATTGCACTCCAACCTGGGCAACAAGAGTAACACTCCATCTCAATTACTCTTTTTTGTTTTGTTTTTGAGAGGGAGTCTTGCTCTGTGGCCTAGGCTGGAGTGTAGTGGCGCAATCTTGGCTCACTGCAACCTCCGCCTCCTAAGTTCAAGATTCTCCTGCCTCGGCTTCCCGAGTAGCTGGGATTACAGGTGCCCGCCACCACGCCTGGCTAATTTTTGTATTTTTAGTAGAGACAGGGTTTCGCGATGTTGAGCAGGCTGGTCTTGAGCTCCCACCCTCAGGTGATCCACCCGCCTTGGCCTTCCAAAGTGCTGGGATTACAGGTGTGACCCACCACACCCGGCCTACGTTTGGAATTCTTTGTCACATTTGGTTTAGCACAGGCAATCGGTATTGAGCCTTAGCATTCATTCTGTTAATAAATAGCATGAATGCTTTCACCTGGAACAGTTAACTAGCTTCTGCTAGTATTTAATGCTCAATAGTATAGCTGAAAAGATGATAATTAAATGGGATTTTATTTTATTAAAATAGATAACTTCCTCAACTGAGCAAGGGATTTTATAATTTTAAAACAACCTCATTATTGTAAACATAGTATATATTATATTATTGAACATTAGGAAATGACAGAAAACTAAGAAAAGTAGAGAATAAAAGGACTATAGTTTGTTACCAAAAGTTATTTTTACCAGTCGTTTGTATATTATGTGCAACTGTGTTTTAACCTAGTTTTAAATATAGTACTGTATTTAATTTCATCTAGCTTTTAAATATTATATAATTTTTATATAATATAATTTATATTATAAATATATAATTATTTTTTCATTGATGAATCACTTTGTTTAATATCCATATATGTTGTCATTTTAAACTTGGCCTTGGGATATATGATTTAATTTTATAAATTAAAAAAAATATGGGTATATTGGTGAATTTTTTACCTATTGAATATTGAATCTTCTAGTTTTTTTTTTTTTTTGAGATGTCTTGCTCTGTTACCCAGGCTGCAACCTCTGCCTCCCAGGTTCAAGTGATTCTCTTGCCTCAGCCTCCTGAGTAGCTGGGGTTACAGGTGCATGCTACTATGTCCAGCTAATTTTTTGTATTTTTAGTAGAGATGAGGTTTTGCCATGTTGGCCAGGCTGGTTTCGAACTCCTGACCTCACGTGATCTGCCTGTCTCGGCCTCCCAAAGTGCTGGGATTACAGACGTGAGCCACTGTGCCTGGTCTGAATATTGAATCTTCGGATAGTGTTTGGAAGTGTGATTTCCTTGGATTTGAATTCTAAATGTTGAGAGATAAGAAATAGGAGAAATTACTGACTTGAAAAGGATATGAATTTAAAATGTTGTGGGTTTAGGTTGCTGTATCCTTATTCCCAAGGGTGAAAAAAGATAGTTGGGATCATATTTCCTCTTAATATTGAGTGAGGAGCAATATTTTGTGACTAACACTCTCTCAAATCCTTAGTTTAAAAAAGAAAAGGAAAAATCCATTGTGACATCAACGAATACTGGGGTAAATGAATTATCCTCCTGTTAGGATATAAACTTCATCAGGGCATATACATTTCTGTTTGATTCTTTGTTTTCCCCAGTGTCTGGTACATGGTTGGTTTTCAGTCTGTATTTATTGAATGAATGAGTGCTGCTTTATCTGTTAATAAGTTTTTTTTTTTTTTTTTCCTGAGTTGGAGTTTTGCTCTTGTTGCCCAGGCTGGAGTGCAATGGCATGATCTTGGCTCACCGCAACCCCTGCCTCCCGGGTTTAAGTGATTCTCCTGCCTCAGCCTCCCAAGTAGCTGGGATTACAGGCATGCGCCACCACGCCCAGCTAATTTTGTATTTTTAGTAGAGATGGGGTTTCTCCATGTTAGTCAGACTGATCTTGAACTCCGGGCCTCAGGTGATCCACCCTACTTGGCCTTCTGGAGTGCTGAGATTACAGGTGTGAGCCACCACGCCCAGCCTCTGTTAATAAGTGTTAAGATCAAGAAAGAAAGTTGAAGCTTGATGAAAGTCAAGATTATAATCAAATTCCTATTTAATGGATTTTGCATAACTCGATACTTTTTTTGGCAGTTTGTGTTTAATGGATTTTGCATAACTCAATACTTTTTTTTGGCAGTTTGCTACTAAGCACATAGCTAAAAACATTCCTGTTTGAAAATAAGTACGTTAAACTGCTTCCTGCTTGCACACCCATTTTTTGAGGTTTGGTAAAGTCCAAACAAAGCACATTTCAGGAATTGGCAGTGTGAAATCTTTCAACTAGAGAGACTTTAATAATTATTAAAAGTAGCTGTACGTAATCATTGTGCTACTAATTATTGTGCTTTTATGTGCCTACAAGCTTGCCAACGATAAATTTGGTTTTGAATGTGTGCAGTAGTTCATACTAAGTGTGTATGTAAAAGTCTGGTTAAATCCAGCTTAATACAAATTATTTTAAAATATACATCTCTTGTTATTTTTTTTTTCTGTCTACAAGGAAAATATATACCATGATCTACAGAAACTTGGTAGTAGTCAATCAGCAGGGTAAGTTAATTTTGAGCATCATGAATAAATACCATAAAAAGATTTTAAAGACATTTTTGTTCATGTGCATGTTTTGTAATTGATTCTCTTTAAAAGTTGCTTTAATATTGTAATAAAAATATGATAAATTTATTAGAAGTACATATGAACTAAAACCACATTATACTGAGGTTCTAATGTAAGGTTAAATACCTTGTTACATTAATTTAAGACTTGGGATATCAGAGTTAGGATTTGTTTTGAAAGGTCCATAATTTCAAAAGCTCCTATTTAGGAGTGATCTACCTTGAAAATGTATTGAAAGGCTTTGGGAAATAATACAGTTACCTAGGTAGGACATTGTGTAAGGATGAAGGATGGGTCTTTTTCTTTGATTATAGACAAAATTTTGTTTACCAATTTGTGGAAGTGGAATTTTATGTTCCTACTTCTGGTTCTTAACTGGTTATTTTTGGGTCACATCTCTCTTAAATACGCTGATAAAAGCATTGGGTTCTTGTTTCAGAAAGATGCACATGGGTACATATACATGGATAAGTCAATAAGTGTTTTACAACCTTCTTTCCATGAGAAAAGCCCTGATTTATGTGCTTGCTGACTTCCATAGTATAATACTCTCATTTGAAGGCTAAAAACATGGAGTTGGGAAGAGATGTACACAGTTTGGTTTTTTTTTTGAGAAGGAATCTTGCTCTGTCACCCAGGCTGGAGTGCAGTGGCACGATCTTGGTTCACTGCAACCTCTGCCTCCCAGGTTCAAGCAATTCTTCTCTCTCAGCCTCCCGAGTAGCTGGGACTAAAGGCTTATGCCACCATGCCCGGCTAATTTTTGTATTTTTAGTAGAGACAGGGTTTCAGCTTATTGGCCAGGCTGGTCTCGAACTCCTGACCTTGCAATCTGCCTGCCTCGGCCTTCCAAAGTGCTGGGATTACAGGTGTGAGCCACTGCACCCGGCCCCACAGTTTGCTTTTGAACACACTACACCCTTCCTAAAGCCCATCCTCGAACTACAGTTAAGAAATGCTGTTAGGCCAGGTGTGATGGCTCATGCCTATAATTCCAGCGCTTTAGGAGGCTAAGGCAGGAGGATCACTTGACCCTGGAGTTCAAGACCAGCCTGGGCAGCATGGCAAAATCCTGCCTCTGCAAAAACTACAAAAATCAGCTGGGTATAGTGGTGCATGCCTGTAGTCCTAGCTACTGAGGAGTCTGAGGCAGGAGGATTGTTTGAGCCCGGGAGGTCAGGACTGCAGTGAACTGTGCTCATGCCATTCCAGTCTGGGTGACGGAGCAAGACCTCATTTCTTAAAAAAGACAAAAACAAAAAAACACCTGTCAGGAGCTTATATAGTTCCTAGAATGAAATGACCACTCCCTTGTACTTCCTCTATTCCATATTCAGATTTTATTGTAAAATTGCTTTGTTACACGTGTGGGTTTTTTGTTTTTGAGAGGGACTCTTACTCTGTCACCCTGCTTGAAGTGCAGTGGTGTGGTCTTGGCTCACTGCATCCTCCACCTCCAGGGCTCAAATGGTCCTCCCCCTCAGCCTCCCAAGTTGCTGGAACTACAGATGCGCTCCACCATGCCTGGCTAATTTTTCTGTATGTTTGGTAGAAATGGTGTTTTGCTCTGTTGCCCAGGCTAGTCTCAACCTGAGCTCAAGAGATACTCTCACCTCGGCCTCCCAAAGTATAGGGATTACAGGCGTGAGCCACTGCGCCTGGCTGTTATATTTGTTTATATTTTTGTTACCTATGTCCTATTCAGGTTTGCATTCTGCATCACACAGTATAGTGTTTTATTAATGTGGTATTTAATAAATGTGTTGAATACTTATTCTTCCAAAGTTAGGATTTAAAGCCCAGAAAAGTACCTCCATTTTATCCCAGAATAGAAGTAGTTACTAGGCTGATGATTTGGCATTTTATTGTTTTAAAGCTCTTTAAGAAATTGTATGATAGCTAAATATACAATTATAGTATTTATAGTAGTATTTTGAATTTTCTGAAGTATGTATCCCTGATGTATTAATTCCTTCATTTGTTTAAATAAACTTTGGCACATTACTAGAAAAATTATATTACTGAGATGGAAACTTACAAATTATTTGCAGTCTGAGTTTGATTCAGATATCAGTAGAATTAACTTCAGAACTCCTATTCCATGTTCTCAACTTTGTCACTTTTTTTTTTGAGATGGAGTCTCTTCTGTTACTCAAATTAGAATGCAGTGGCATGATCTCGAATCACTGCAATCTCTGCTTCCCAGGTTTAAGCGATTCTCCTTCCTTAGCCTCCTGAGTAGGTGGGGTTACAGGTGCCTACCACCACGCCTGGTTAATTTTTGTATTTTTAGTAGAGAAAGGGTTTCACCATGTTGACCAGGCTGGTCTCAAACTCCTGACCTCAGGTGATCCTCCCACCTTGGCCTCCCAAAGTTCTGGGATTACAGGCATGAGCTGCTGTGCCTGGCCTAGGGCTTCCTTTTTATTACATCTTTTTTGTAGCATCTGTTTATACTAATCCAAAATTCCTGGACAATATAACCTATTATGTACAACTTAAGAAAATTAGTGTAATACCTTACCCGTAGTATAAAGAGAAAATTAACATATGATAATGCATAATTTCAAAATGTTAATGTCCAGGCATAAGTTCACTGTTAAGATGAAAATGTTTCCAAGAGGGTAGTAAAGAGTATTTGATGATGATTGTCTGTATATCCCAAATCTGAAACTTTGACTTTTGAGCTCCAAGTCTGTATATCCCACTACAAATGAAACCTATGTGTCTTAATAACTCAGTTTGTTATCTTCCCATCCGATCTGTTTATCTTTCTAAAGTTTCTCTTTTCGTGAATGGTGCCACTCATTTATTCACCCAAGGCAGAGTCTTGGAATCATCTTAACTCCTTTCTTCTTTGCCTTCTATTATTAAATACCAGGTCTTGTTGGTTTTTACCTATTTAATTTCTCTGGAATTTGTCTTCCATGCCTTAGTTTAGGCTTTAATCATTTTTAGTTTGTATTGCAATTGTCTAATACTGGTTTTCCTGCCTCTGCCCTATTTTTCTTATATTTTGCCAGAGTGATTTGTCACTCTGTGCTTAAAATTACCATTTAGGAGTTCATTATTGCTCTCTGGATGTAATATTTTCTGTGAGCTAGAAATCAGTTTTCTTTCTTGGATTAAATCCTTTTTAATGGTGAGTGGCTGCAACATCGCATTAGGGAAGATTCTGAAGTATCTGCTGGGAAGAATGCAGTGATAAGGGAATGACAGCCTGAGTCCTGCTTTGGCTAAACGCACAGGATCCTTTACAATCTGAACCTGCCTACATTCCAGTAATAATGAACTGCTTGTGGTGTCCTGCAACAGGAACTGTTAGTTTGCTTTTGGATACTTTTTCACATGGCGTTTTCTTGGTCTGTAATGGCCTTTCCTAGCCCTATTTTCACATTGTCCTACAAAATATTTACTGATTTTTTGCTCCTCAGACACTCCCTGTCCCTACCAAATAATGACTGTCCTGTCTCTCTGCTAATTTATCTTACAATCTTTTAATGTCTTGATTATACTTTGCTCTTCTACATTAAAGTTGAATTATTTTACTTACATCTGCAACATTTAGTATGAGGGTGCCACCTGGAAAATACATGTTTAATGTTTATTGAAAGGTTAAATTGCATAAGGGTTTGTGTTAGACTGATCACATATCTACTGAATAGCCGCCCTCCCCCCACCCACCAAGTTTCTGATTCTTTTTCTTTTCTCTCAGAATCATCAGACTCAGGTACATCTGTGAGTGAGAACAGGTGTCACCTTGAAGGTGGGAGTGATCAAAAGGTAATCTTTAAGTAAATTTCTCATTCTAATGTAATATTATTTGCCAGTTGGAAAGGTTATTTACAACAAATTAGCTTACTGGTTATGTTAAGTTTGTTGTATTTTATTTTTTTCCTGTAATGCTTAGGACCTTGTGCAAGAGCTTCAGGAAGAGAAACCTTCGTCTTCACATTTGGTTTCTAGACCATCTACCTCATCTAGAAGGAGAGCGATTAGTGAGACAGGTATATATGAGTATTTGACACATTCACACAGCTTTTTGATGTTCTTTCTTTAATGAAATTAGTGCTTTTAGACTTAATTAAATTGTTCCCTTTTTTTGGTTGAGATGAATTAACCTCTGAGTTTTTTCATCCTTGATTTTATTAGATTTACAAATTGCTTATTTAGCAATATTTTTCTGGCTGACTACAGCAGGCATAGTTTACTGTGCCCCACCTGGAGTTTATAGTTAGCCAACTCTCTGTTAAGCTAATAGGAGGTGGCTGGGTGTGATGGCTCATGCCTGTAATCCCAACACTTTGGGAGGCTGAGGCCGGCGGATCATGAGGTAAGGAGTTCAAGACCAGACTGACCAACATGGTGAAACCCCTTCTCTACTAAAAAAAAAACAAACAAAAAGTAGCTGGGCCTGGTGTCGCATACTTGTAATCGAGCTACTCTGGAGGTTGAGGAAGGAGAATTGCTTCAACCCGGGAGGTGGAAGTTTCAGTGAACCAAAATTGCACCACTGCACTCCAGCCTGGGTAACTGAGCAAGACTTCGTCTAAAAAAAAGATAATAGGAGGCAGGCATATAAACTCCATTTTCGCCTTTATTCTTAGTCACCTTAACAGTTAACATTTTAAATTGTTGTTTTTAATAAATGATAGTACATACCTATGAGTTTTAAAACAGAAAGTAAATAGCATTTTAGAAATGAAGAGATAAGGGCCAGGTGCAGTGGCTCACACCTGTAATCCCAGCACTTTGGGAGGCCAAGACAGGCAGATCACAAGGTCAGGAGATCGAGACCATCCTGGCTAACACGGTGAAACCCCGTGTCTACTAAAAATACAAAAAATTAGCCAGGCGTGGTGTTGGGTGCCTGTAGTCCCAACTACTCGGGAGGCTGAGGCAGGAGAATGGCATGAACTGGGGAGGCAGAGCTTGCAGTGAGCTGAGATCACACTACTGCACTCCAGCCTGGGCGACAGAGCAAGACTCTTGTCTCAAGAAAAGAAAAAAAAAGACAGAGAAAATAGTTGAGAACAGTTAGTAGAGGAGAAGACTGTAGCCTGAGGAAGTCACAGTAACTAAGACCGTATGATTCAGATGAAAGAGAATGTCAGATCAGTGAAACAGAGTAAATGAACCCAGACCAGAATCTTGTACATGCGGGCAGAAGACAGGAAGGGCAGAGGTGTCTAGGCAGAGGTGGAACTAGAACAAATGGTAGTTACTTGGGAAAAAGGTGAAGTTACATCTGTACCTTATGCCAAAATGAATTTCAAATAAGTTTAAAAGATAAATGAAAAATAGAATGCAACATATTTGAAAGATAGTCACTTTAAATTTGACTGTTAATATCTGTATTACGTAAAAGTCTCCCCAAATCAATAAGGAAAACATTGAAACTTCAAATAGCAAAAAGGGCAGACAGTTCACAGAAATTTCCCACAGTAAATACAAATGACTAATAAATAGGGGGAAAGGGTGAATTTTGGTGACTTTAGCTTTACAGATACTAAAAAATGCCTAAAGGGTGTCCTTTTGGTCTATCAAATTAGCAAAAATAAATTTTTTACTCATCGTTACAACTTGTGTATTAGCACTGATAAACTGTTGTTCTACAAGTTGGTATAAGTTGGTAAAAATTGATTAAATTTTTCAGATTATAAAAAAGCTTAAATGGCCTGGTGCTGCAGTGGCTCACACCTGTAATCCCAGCACTTTGGAAGGCTGAGGCGGGTGGATCTCTTGAGGTTAGGAGTTCGACACCAACCTGGCAAGCATGGTGAAACTCCGTCTCTATTAAAAATACAAAAATTAGCCGGGTGTGGTGGCAGGTGCCTGTAATCCCAGCTACTCGAGAGGCTGAGGCAGGAGAATCACTTGAACCTAGGGGGTGGAGGTTGCAGTGGACCAAATCGTGCCATTGCACTCCAGCCTGGGTTACAGAATGAGACTCTTATCTCAAAAAAAAAAAAAAAAGTCTTAGAGTTCTTAACATTATCCTAGTAACTCCATTTCTAGGAATCTATCTTAAGGATGTAGTTAAAAATTCAAAGATTTATATGTAGAGATATTAATTACAGCATTATTTATAATTGCAGCCCAGCCAAGATCACCTTTTTTAAGATAGAGAATACAAACAGGATTAAGAGCTCATGTGAAGAACTTGTGATCTAGTTGTAGAGATAAAACATAAAAATTCTTAGTGGGATGTAAGAGTATTTTGGGAATTGAGAGGAAGAGGAGATGACTTTTGGTTAGATAGGCCAAGAGAGGGAAATGAAATGAGCAAAGGTGTGAGAGTTGTACCTGTTTCAGGGATGTGGATTTTATTTCACTTAATACCATAAGCCTATTAAATACTTACATATAAGGCTGCAGTGAACACCTTTGCACATATATCCTTAAATTATTATGGAGATATTTCTCTAGGATAGAGAATATATTTCTAGGATAGAATATATTTCTCTAGGATAGAGAAATTGCCTGCAAAATGTTGGACGATTTAATATTCTTACTAACTGTATAAAAATGTCCTTTCTTGGCTGGGCGCGGTGGCTCACGCCTGTAATCCCTGCACTTTGGGAGGCTGAGGCGGGCAGATTACCTGAGGTCAGGAGTTCGAGACCAGCCTGGCCAACATGGTGAAACCCTGTCTCTACTAAAAATACAAAAATTAGCCAGGCGTGGTGGCACGCACCTGTAGTCCCAGCTACTCAGGAGGCTGAGGCAGGAGAATCTCTTGAACCTGGGAGGTAGAGGTTGCAGTGAGCCAAGATTGCGCCATTATACTCCAGCCTGGGGGACAAGAGTGAGACTGTCTCAAATAAATAAATAAATAAGTAAATCCTTTCTCAAATCATTGATATTGTCTCATTTTAATTTTTGTCATTCTCATCAGTGAAAAATGAGGTCATTTCCCTTTGCATTTCTTTGATCCCTAGGAGGTAGGAGATTTCTTTTTTCCATTACTCAAGTATATGACTCAAGATTTTTCATATGTTTATTAGTCATGTGTATTTCTTCTGTGACCTGCTTTTTCCTGTTTCCTTAAAAAAAAAAATCCAGTCTATCTTGATATGGTAGGACTTTGTATAATATGTATGATATGGGTATTTTTTTATTATATATGTTGCAGATACTATCTTTGAATTTGACCTTGGCCTTTTAACTTTTGTTTGGTATGTTATTTTGCCATGTAAACCTTGACGTGATCTAATCTGGATAGTCTTTTTTTTGAGGGCTTTGCAGTATTATGAAATACTTTTCCACCCCAGCGTTTTAAGAATATTTTGTTGTAGGTACTTTCATGGTTTTGTTCTTTATATTTAGATCTTTAATCCACCTGGAATTCATTTTTATGTCTAGTGTAAGGTAGGATTCTCATGTCTAACAGATTTGTCTAACATTCTGACCCATTCAGAGATAATTTATTGTTTAAAATAAAATGGAAAATTTTTACTGGTTTTGATTTCTGTTTAAAATACAGGATGCTGAAGAGCCAGGTTTAGTGGCTTAGGCCTGTAATCCCAGCACTTTGGGAGGCTGAGGCACTGGGATCACTTGAGGCCAGGAGTTTGAGACCAGTGTGGCCAACATGCTGAAACGATCTCTACCAAAAACACAAAAATTATCCAGGCATGGTGGTGCGCGCCTGTAATTCCAGCTACTTGGAGGCTGAAGTCACAAGAATCACTTGAACCTGGGAGGCAGAGGCTGCAGTGAGCCGAGAATGTACCACTGCACTCCAGCCTGGATGGTCGAGTGTGACTCTGTCTCAAAAGAAAAAATGTAGGGTACTGAAGAAATTGAAACATTAAGAATACCTTATAAGTAAATTAACCACTTTGGCTCTTTTCAGAAAAAAAAAGAGCTATTATATTTTAAAGTTTGGTTTTGGCAGAAAATAAAATTCCTAGATTGTTTGGTTAATAAAAACTTTATTAGATGGATTAAATTGTGATGTATGGAGATAGAGTTCTGAAAGAAGAATAGAAACCTTTTAAAAAATAGTATTCTCAGCCTAGGCAACATGGTGAAACCCTGTCTATACAAAATATAGAAAAATTAGTGAGCTGTGGTGGTGCGTTCCTATGGTAGCAGCTACTTGGGAGGCTGAGGTTGAGGTGGGAGGATCGCTGAAGTCCATGAGACAGAGGGTGCAGTGAGCTGAGATTGCACCTCTGTACTCCAGCCTGGGCGACAGAGCAAGACCCTGTCTCAGAAAATAAATAAATAAACAAACAAATACACATACACAGCTAGTGTTCTGTTGTAACTCTTAGTTGGACAGGTTCAATAAAACAGTGTTAACTTTTGAAGCTAATTTTATTGGAACTAAGTTTCTGTACAGATAGGTACTCAAAACAGCTCAATTTTCTAAATCACAGTACAGCAATTTATTTTTTTTCCCTTACATATCCAGAAGAAAATTCAGATGAATTATCTGGTGAACGACAAAGAAAACGCCACAAATCTGATAGTATTTCCCTTTCCTTTGATGAAAGCCTGGCTCTGTGTGTAATAAGGGAGATATGTTGTGAAAGAAGCAGTAGCAGTGAATCTACAGGGACGCCGTCGAATCCGGTAATGTTCTCATTTTTAAGTAAGGCAAGACTCTTACTGTTAAACTCTAGTCCTGGCAGTCCTAATAAGCATACTGATCGAATGTACATGTGTCTTACGAGATTGATGCAAAACACGGTGCTAAATTTTACTTTAAAATAAAACTACTGTATTGATCTCTGCCTTCAACCCAAGGTATTGTGAGAAATGTGAAAAATAGTGGAGTAACACTAGTATTGGTAAAATTAGTAGTAGTATTAGTAATTATCAGTGTCACTGTATGTATTAGAGAATATTTGTGGACCACTGCACAATAGTACATTCAAATAAATTGGAGCATAGAGTTGTTTGAGAATTTTGAAATAAAGGAACAAAACCCAAAATTTGGTTCAGTTAAATATTTTAGCATTTTAAGGCAAATTTGACTATTTAGAGTAAAAATATCTTTTATTACAGCCATCAGCAAAAAAGTCAACATAGTCTGAACTTAACATTTGCCAGATAGGTCTAGACATCAGGTAAGTTCTATTTACTTATGCTGTAAAATACAGGTTTATACTGGGCTGGGTGTGGTGGCTCACGCCTGTAATCGCAGTACTTTGGAAGACTGAGGCGGGTGGATCACCTGAGGTTAGGAGTTCAAGACCAAGCTGGCCAACAAGATGAAACCATGTCTGTACTGAAAATACAAAAATTAGCCAGGCATGGTGGCACATGCTTGCAGTCCCAGCTACTCGAGAGGCTGAGGCAGGAGGATCACTTGAACTCAGGAGGTGGAGGTTGCAGTGAGTCGAGATTGTGCCACTGCACTCCAACCTGGGTGACAGAAAGACTCAGTCTCAAAAAAAAAAAAAGAAAAAAGAAAAATGCAGATTTTTTATTGCATGGATGACGGGAGAGTATCAGTACTTTTTAATTATTAATACAGACTTCCAAAATAATAGCAAGCAGCATTTCTTAAGAGATGTTACTGAAAGACGTTTGGTAAAATCTTTTTTTGTTAACAAGAATGCTTGACAAGTGGAATATTTTGTTTTGTATGTCTTTAAACAAGCTTGTCCAACCCATGCCCTGTGGGCCATATGCCAAGATGGCTTTGAATGTGGCCTAACAAATTCATAAACTTTCTTAAAATATTATGAGATTTTTTATTTTTTATTTTTTTACAATTTTTTCCCTGCTCATCAGCTATTGTTAGTGTATCTTACATGTAGCCCAAGACAATTCTTCCAATGTGGCCCAGGGAAACCAAAGGATTGGATATAGTTTTTGGTAATATGGCAGTGTTGATGGTCATTATTCTGGATATTAGTAATCCTTGTAATCCTTGTATAGTTCTCTAGAAGATGTAGGAGATGGAACCAATTACGGTAGTAATCCTAGTCTTTTACCTGTTCTTGTTAATTCCTGTATTATCTTTTTATTTTTCTCTTCCAAAGTAGTGATTGTTTGAACACATACCTGCCCTCTAGAATTACTGTACTTAATGGAGCTGTTACTCATGTAGACCACTAGATGGCATAATGAGCTCTTGCTCGGTCTGAGAGCAGGTTCTTCATTCGTAGATAATTTAAGTTTATACCAGATTCCATACAGTTGAGATGGCACTGCAGATACAGTAGTAGTCAAGGTAGATATGATTCTTGTCTTCATGGGGAGATAGATCATTAATGACAAATGAAAAAATTTAATAAATCCAGTGAAAAAACAGAGGTGCTTGAGAGGAAATATGTGTGATAAAATTGAATCCAGTTAAAACTTGATGAGTACACAACCTACAAGTTTGGTTAAAAAGAGGATTATCATATCCTATTTATTTATTGAAATTGAGTCTCTCTATTGCCCAGGCTGGAGTGCAGTGGTGCAATCTTGGCTCACTGCAACCTCCGCCTCCCAGGTTCAAGCAATTCTCATGTCTCAGCCTCCTGAGTAGCTGGGATTACAGGCTTCCACCACCACACCCGGCTAATTTTTGTATTTTTAGTAGAGACAGGGTTTCACTATGTTGGCCAGGCTGGTTTTGAACTCCTGACCTCAAGTGATGTGCCTGCCTTGGCCTCCCAAGGTGTTGGGATTACAGACGTTGAGCCACAACACCCGGACCCCCATTAAATGTATAGTTTTTGTTAAAGTTATATCAGAATTCTAGCTGAATGGAGTCCTTGTTCTTGCTTTGTACCTGGGACACTGCCTTGTTACTACTGATACGGCTTTGAGGAGTAGAGGAACATCAGATTTTTTGTTTTGAGTTGAGTTAGGTGAAACGACATGGACACACGTGGAGTGGTTTTAAGGAGCAGAGAGTTTAATAGGCAAGAAGGGAGAAGGCAGACGGAAGAAGCTCCCCCTTACAGAGCCGGGGTGGGGGTGCTCTAAAACTGAAAGAGGAGACCTCACATACTAGCTGGTTTTATGTGATGGCTGGAGGGAGTGGTGTCTTATTTGCATAGGGCTCAGAGGGTTGGTTTAACCAGGCATGTCATTTAGCCCTCGAGAAAACTAGCCCTCCCACTCTAGTCCTTTAATACTGCAAATGCAGCGTGCCATGACATTTTACACACGTGGGGTTATGTGGGGGCGGCCATGCTGTTAGGTACCTGTTGGGGCAAGGGCAAGAAGACGACAGTGGGAATTGCCATGTTGGGTGGACCCTCTTGCATTTGCATCTTAAAGGTTGCCGGCCTTTAAGAGCCAGGGTTTTATGCTAGACAAGAAATGTTTCTGGAGCTACGAAAAACCTTCCAAGGACCACTTTCCCTTTCTATTTGCCTAAAATAATTTCTTAATAACTCCCACCACATTATCAAAGTGTGCAGTAGAGGGGTATTTCTTTTTTTCTTTTTGTTAGTCCTGTCCTGCATTCTCTTAAAAAACCCTATCTATTAAAAAATCTCACAGTGGCTCATGCTTGTAATCCCAGCACTTTGGGAGGTCCAGGCGGGTGGATCACCTGAGGTCAGGAGTTCAAGATCAGCCTGGCCAACATGGTGAAACCCCATCTCTACCAAAAATACCAAAAATTAGCTGGGTGTAGTGGCGGGCACCTGTAATCCTAGCTGCTCGGGAGACTGAGACAGGAGAATCGCTTGAACCCAGGAGGCAGAGGTTGCAGTGAGCTGAGATCACACCATTGCAAGGGCAACAAGAGCGAAACTCCATCTTAAACAACAACAACAACAAAATCTCGTTTTTCAGGTTAAGTCCCTAGTTGTGAAAGCTTTTGGTAGAGCCCGTTTTTTTTCTCTTCTGCATTTTAATTTCCCTCATTTGAGAATGTTATAGTCATCACTGGGTGTCATCATTCACCAGTTTGTGAAGGGAGTTAAAGGAAAGTGCATTCTTCTCCCATCTTTTCTTTGGGGTTTAGTAAATTGTGGGAAACTAAGACTGTGTTCTAGACTGTACACCACACAGTTTATATTATGATCTTCTGTCATTTTTGCAGCCTTAGATTCCATTTTTAGCTAAGACTGGGGTTTTAAATAACTTGTTTAAGGTTCCTACAACTGGTCGCAATTGGAATTCAAACAATTCTAAGGATTTCTGACTGCAAAAATCTAAGATCTTTGCAGAGCAAGCCTATCTGATGCTTTAAAAACTTTTTTTTTTTTAAATTTTTGAGATAGTCTCTCACTCCATTGCCCAGGCTGGAGTACAGCGGCATGATCATGGCTTACTGCAACCTCAACCTCCTGGGTTCAAGCGATCCTTCCTCCTCAGCCTTGAGAGTTAGCTGGAACTACAGGTGTGTAGCACCACACCTGACTAATTTTTTTTACTCTTTTTTTTTCAGAGATGAGGTCTCGGCCTGTTGCCCAGGCTGGTCTCAAACCACTGGGCTTATGTGATTCTCCTGCTTTGACTCCCAGAGTATTGGTATTACAGGCATGAGCCACCACCCGCAGCCTGATGCTTTTAAAATATATAGTATTTAGGCCTGGTGTGGTGGCTCACACCTGTAATCCCAGCACCTTGGGAGGCTGAGACAGGCGGATCACAAGGTCAGGAGATCGAGACCATCCTGACTAACACAGTGAAACCCTGTCTCTACTAAAAATACAAAAAATTAGCCGAGCGTGGTGGCGGGCACCTGTAGTCCCAGCTACTGGGGAGGCTGAGGTGGGAGAATGGTGTGAACCGGGAGGCGGAGATTGCAGTGAGCCGAGATCATGCCAGTGCACTCCAGCCTGGGCAACAGAGCGAGACTCTGTCTCAAAAAAAAAAAAATATATATATATATATACACACATTTAAATAATACATATTTATATGTTAAATTTACATATAAATTTATATTTATATAATTATATAAAATATATAATTACATAAAAACATTTTAAATATATATTTTTATATGTAATATTTAAAATATATATAGAGAGAGAATTTAATAGTTTCTGGGGCATTCTTTTATGAACATTAGCCAAAACTTTTAAAAACCACTCCCAATATTGCATTTTTTTAATAGTATCCTAGGACAGGAATTGGCAAACTTTCTGTAAAGAGCCAGATAGTTAATTATTTGGGCTCTGCAGGGCTGTGGTTTCTGTCACAGCTACTCAGCTCCACTCTTGTAATGCAGGAGCAACCATAGACAACAAGTCAACAAATAGGCATGGCTGTGTTCAACAAAACTTTATTTATAAAAGTAGATGGGTGATGGGCCACAGTTTGCACACCCCCTACCATACAGTATGTTTTCTGAGACTTAATGTTTCTTGTGATTTACCCCCTTATTCTAAAATTAGTGCACTTTAGTTAGTTGAAGTATTTGGTTTGTGGGGTTGCTTTGTTAGAGTGTTAATTGTGTCCTAACTTGACTTGTGATTCTAATCTGATTGGTAGTAGAGCCCCTGTTAGGAATTAGAGCTGCAACTTGATGAATGTTGCTTTTACTCTCCTTCTTAACACTACTCTTTTAAAAAAGTCTTTTGACATCAGAGGCCTAAAAATAATATACTTTGTTTCCGTTTTTAGAACTGATGCAGATATGGATATCATTTAATCTAAGCTCCTTTTCTAGATGAAGTAGCTACAGCCTTTAGAAGTTAAATGATACGGGCTGGGCGCGGTGGCTCACGGGTGTAATCCCAGCACTTCGGGAGGCCAAGGTGTTGGATCACTTAGAGGTCAGGAGTTCGAGCAGCCCAGCCAACATGGTGAAACCCCGTCTCTACTAAAAATATAAAAATTAGCCAGTTGTGGTAGTGGATGCCTGTAATCCCAGCTACTTGGGAGGCTGAGGCAGGAGAATAGCTTGAACCTGGGAGGCGGAGGTTGCAATGAGCCGAGATCATGCCACTGCATTTCAGCTTGGGCGATAGAGCAAAAAAAAGGGCCAGGCACGGTGGCTCACACCTGTAATCCTAACACTTTGGGAGGCCGAAGCGGTTGAATTGCTTGAGGTCAGGAATTCAAGACCAGCCTGACCAACATGGTGAAGCCCCACCTCTACTACTAAAAATACAAGAATTAGCCAGGCATGGTGACACACGCCTGTAGTCCCAGCTACTTGGTAGACTGAGGCAGGAGAATCGCTTGAACTTGGGAGGTGGAGGTTGCAGTGAGCCGAGATCAGGCCACTGCACTCCAGTCTGGGCAACAGAGCAAGATTCCGTCTCAAAATAAATAAATAGATAAAATAAGTTAAGTGATGTGTCTAAGGTTAAATTAGCTACTTAGTGGCAAGTGTAGAATAAGTCATATCCTGACTGCTAGACTTTTTCCACTTGTAGCCTTCTGCTTAATATATGCTCCTACCCTTAGCCACTAACAGCAAATGTTATTGGCCTGAAGGTCTTTATTAGGTTCGTACACAATTTATTGAAGTCTTGAAATGAGGAATCAGGTGAGCAGCTACAGATTTTCTTTTTTAATTTTCTAAAGGCTCTTTAAAAGAAAATCTCAAAGTTTATTAAAAAACGTAAGTATCTATGACTCAAGAGACATTTTTCTAAGAAAAAAACCCCATAAGTATTATAAGTGTGTCTTGTTACTTGTATTCTACCAATTTGGACATATAAAGTTGAGTAAAGACAGGTCTTAGCCCAAAGTGGATATATTTCAGATGAGAATTATGCCTGCAAAGTTATGTTTTCCATAATTTATTTGTGAGACTATATAATTCATTATTATACAAATAGTAAGGATAATTAAAGGTGGAAGAGCCTTTTCAGTTACGGTATTGACAAAGGCTTAGTCAAAGAAGGATGAATAGGATTTTGAAACTGAAATTATTCTAGTTAGAGGGGGAAAGGGTGGAAGTTGAAATGCCAAGATTAGTTGAGGAAGCAATCTAGATCTGGCAGGATTGTCCATATTTAGTAAGGGAAAAAGGGTGTCTAGTTGAAGACAGACAAAGATGTTAATACAGTCACACTGTATGTACTTTCAATGCCAAGAGACTTTGGCATTTTTCCTTTATGCAGTGGGGTTTTGAACAGGGAAAATAACATAGTAATAACCTTGAAATCTTAATCTAGTTTAAGTGTGCAGGATGGATCTGAGGAGGAAATGTGCGTGGCAACCAGCTCCAGGATGACTGGGGGGGCCCCAGTCCTCCCACCACCGATTTCCCTCGGGACGTCCCGGATCGGAGTAGCAGGCCCATCCCCCAAGTGTTACACCCCACTAGCAGCAGCAGAGGCACAGGGATGAGTTAGGAAACTGTTACAGAGGTCAAGAGCTGATGTTTATTAAGTTATATATTTTTTTCTTGTTTTAGGATCTTGATGCTGGTGTGAGTGAACATTCAGGTGATTGGTTGGATCAGGATTCAGTTTCAGATCAGTTTAGTGTAGAATTTGAAGTTGAATCTCTCGACTCAGAAGATTATAGCCTTAGTGAAGAAGCACAAGAACTCTCAGATGAAGATGATGAGGTAGTATTTTTTTTCCCCTCTAATTATATTGGAAAATTATTAAATATTTTCCATGTTCATTGACTTTGAGATTGGAATAATAATAAATTCAGATTTCACTTGAAATCTTTACCTCTTGATTTGTTCAGACTAACACATTGGTTTGTGGACTTGAGGATTTCATAGTTCTTTATCATCTGATTTATATTATTATATTACTACTAATGCCAAGAAATCAATAGACCTCAATGAACATGCTTATTATAATGGTCTGTTCACTTTTAAAAAATATAATTCAATTACTGTTTTAATATTAACTTACTTGTTATAAAAGTAAAACATGCATACAGTTTAAGTCAAATAGTACCCTCAGAGATCTGTCTCCCAGAAGTGACTGCCTTTAACATTTTTAGCTATTTCCCTATTATTTAATATCTCTATATTATTTATTTATAAAGTAAAACCACTTAGCTGAATGTTTTGTTTTATTCATCCGAAACATTCTTTGTATTGACTTTTACCATTGTAGGTAAGGATTTCTCTCTCCTGCATTTTTTCCCCCTTTACACTCACTCACTCTATTTGAAATTGTCTAAGACTTTCTCATATATTGTAGTACATGATGCTTGTTCAGGACTTATTACTAGGAAGCCTTCTGATTGAAGGAAAAAGGGTGATGAATTGATGCTAACGAATGTGTTTTATTAGGTATATCGAGTTACTGTGTATCAGGCAGGGGAGAGTGATACAGATTCATTTGAAGAAGATCCTGAAATTTCCTTAGCTGTAAGTATATATCTACTTTTTTAAGAAATAAAAAAAATTTCATTAAGGTCAAGATTAGGAAAATATGTCTAGCCTACTTTCTGAAATGAGCTGATTTTTATAAAGTTAAAATGTTTTTGTAAAGTCTGAATAAAGCATTTTTCTTTTATTTGTTGTGATGAGACATGTAGCTATAATTTTTATTTTTAGGTGCTGGAATTGAACTTTTTTCTTTTTTTTTTTTTTAAAAAACAAGGTCTTACCCTTCTCCCAGGCTGGAGTGCAGTGGTGCAATCTCAGTGCACTGCAGCCTTCACCTCCCAGGTTCAAGCGATTCTCATGCTTCAGTCTCCCGAGTAGCTGGGATTACAGGCGTGCACTACCATACCCCATTAATTTTTTTGTTTTTAGTAGAGATGGGGTTTCACCATGTTGGCCAGGCTGGTCATGAACTCCTGACCTCAAGTGATCTGCCCACCTTGGCCTCCCAAAGTGCTGGGATTACAGGCATGAGCCACTGTGCCCAGCTGAATTTGCACTTTTTGATGTTATTTTGGAAAATTTCAGCGTATCTCCAGTATACTCATCACCCAGCTTTAACTATTACCAACATTTTGCCAACCTTGTCAAATGTCAACTATTTTTTTTTTTTCAATTGAGATAGGGTCCCGCCCTGTCATCCCGGCTGGAGTGCAGTGACACGATCATGACTCACTGCAGCCCCCACCTCCCAGGCTCAAGTGATCCTCCCACCTCAGCCTCCTGAGTAGCTTGAGACTACAGTTGCATGCCATCACACCCAGCTAATTTTTGTATTTTTTGTAGAGGTGTCACCATGTTGCCCAGGTTGGTCTCGAACTCCTGGGCTCAAGTGATCCACCTGCCTCAGTCTCCCAAAGTGCCAGGATTACAGGTGTGAGCCATCACACCCAGTCAAATGTAAACATTTTTATTATTGATTTGTATTATAAAATGTGGTAGGATTTGCCATTAAAGAAATTAAGGCTTAAATGTTTACATCTCATGCATACTTCACTGACTTCCTGAGGTATTATAAGTGTTTTAAAAACTATCGTGCTTTAGTTTTTGTTCTTAATATTGCCTTCATTATATTTAAATAGGAAATAAATTCCATTTTTTTCTGAGTTATAAACAGTTGCTAAGTATTCAAATGCAAAAAAGGATGAAAATTCAAGAGTTTCCAAAGTTTTTAGTGTATTAGAAAATAATTTAAATAACTAGTTGAATCATTTGATGTTGAGTAAAATATTTTAGATACTTTTAATTTTTTAAATTTATTTTAAGACTCAAAGACTCAAATTATTTTAGATCTTGATCTTGCAATTTATTGCACTTTTTGATGTACTTTTACTCCATATTGCAAGACCTTTTTCTTTGGTTTTATGACCTGTGAAAAACCCCCTTGTATAACTTGAAAAAAGAAGAATGAATAATCTATTTTTATTGCCTCTGTTTTAAGGTCATTTGTGAAGCAATCTCAAAATGGTTATGGAAAGACCTCTTACCAGTTTTCACTTGTTAAATGTCCTCAGGCAAGAACCATGCTTCAGCTAAGGCAAAAAGATAGGTTATGTAAAAAGGCTGGGGATGTGGGAGAGTTTGTTATCCAAATCGCACTGTGGAAAGGTTTGCGGGATGAAACGTTGGGAAAAGGAAGAAGCCTTGAGCAGTTACAGAGATGAGAACACAGGAAAGGATAGACAAGTAAAGGGCATATATTATGGTTATTGACCGATGATGATAGGTTTTAGCGGCAATGCTTGCTGTGAAAAATGTTTTAGCATTTCTCTTGTGGATAGGGTTAGGGAATACTCAGTTAAGCCATGGTTTTAGAGCACTTCTAAGGTACTTCTAGTCACTGGTGGATTGTGAAGTCTTTCTCTAGGAGGCAGGTTTCATCTAGATTGGTTGGATGGACTCTTGGAATAGCGTCTAGGGTGGGCGTGGATATAGGCTGCATGACAGAGTAAAAGATCCCATAGACTTGCTTCAACTAAAGGAAGCAACTGCATTTGTGTCCTGAAACAGAGAACTTTATAGGTACATGATTAATATCACATCACAGTTAATACATTTTTAGTTTAGAAGTTTTCAGGATGGTATGAGTGAAAAAAATGGGTGTACTTACTCTACTTTAGGAGAGACTGTTACATATTGACCTTTTAAAAATCTGTTTTGTGTATAATTGAGACATATAACATGATGTTTGACACACTTGTAAATAGTGAAATGATCACTACAGTCAAGCAAATTAATGTAATCCATTATCTTGAATAGTTAACCTTTCTTGTGTGTGTGGTAAAAATACCTAAAATCTACTCTTTTAGTAAATTTCCAGTATACCAATATATAACTAGCTATAGTCCTCATGCTGTTCACGGTGACTATTTTATATAAAACATGAAACACTGAATACTGAGTTGTATGATATATTTTACCTTAGACATAGCAAAGTTGCTAGCATTCCTGTGACTAGTAGTTAAAGGGTTACAGAAACTGACTCTATCTTATTTCATTGAAGGACTATTGGAAATGCACTTCATGCAATGAAATGAATCCCCCTCTTCCATCACATTGCAACAGATGTTGGGCCCTTCGTGAGAATTGGCTTCCTGAAGATAAAGGGAAAGATAAAGGAGAAATCTCTGAGAAAGCCAAACTGGAAAACTCAACACAAGCTGAAGAGGGCTTTGATGTTCCTGATTGTAAAAAAACTATAGTGAATGATTCCAAAGAGTCGTGTGTTGAGGAAAATGATGATAAAATCACACAAGCCTCACAATCACAAGAAAGTGAGGACTATTCTCAGCCATCAACTTCTAGTAGCATTATTTATAGCAGCCAAGAAGACGTGAAAGAGTTTGAAAGGGAAGAAACACAAGACAAAGAAGAAAGTGTGGAATCTAGTTTGCCCCTTAATGCCATTGAACCTTGTGTGATTTGTCAGGGTCGACCTAAAAATGGTTGCATTGTCCATGGCAAAACAGGACATCTTATGGCCTGCTTTACATGTGCAAAGAAGCTGAAGAAAAGGAATAAGCCCTGCCCAGTGTGTAGACAACCAATTCAAATGATTGTGCTAACTTATTTCCCCTAGTTGACCTGTCTGTAAGAGAATTATATATTTCTAACTAACCCTAAGAATTTAGACAACATGAAAATTACTTACATATATCAAAGTGAGAAAATGCTTCAGTCCACACAGATGTCTTCTCTTTAGTATAACTGACCCACTTTGGTAGCAGAATAGTGAATACTTACTATAATTTGCATTGAATATGTAGCTCATCCTTTACCCCAACCCCTAATTTTAAATAATTTCTATTCTCTCTTAAATGAGAAGTGTCTTTTTTTTTTTTAAATATATGTATATGGCATTTAAATGTAACTTATTAATTTTTTTTTGAGATGGATTCTCGCTCTGTCGCCCAGGCTGGAGTGCAGTGGCGCAATCTCGACTCACTGCAAGCTCCGCCTCCCAGGTTCACACCATTCTCCTGCCTCAGCCTCCGGAGTGGCTTGGACTACAGGCACCCGCCACCACGCCCGGCTAATTTTTTGTACTTTTATTGTAAGAGACAGGGTTTCGCTGTGTTAGCCAGGATGGTCTCGATCTCCTGACCTCATGATCTGCCCACCTCAGTCTCCCGAAGTGCTGTGATTACAGGCGTGAGCCACCGTGCCAGGCCTAAATGTAACTTATTTAGTACCTTTGATGTAAAGAGAAAATGTGTGAAAGATTCAGTTTTTTTGTTTTTTTTTTTGAGATGAGTCTGTTACCCAGGCTGGAGTGCAGTGTCATGATCTTGCAGTCTCTGCTTCCCGGGTTCAAGCCGTTCTCCTGCCTCAGCCTCTGGAGCAGCTGGGATTACAGGCATGCACCACCACGGCCAGCTAATTTTTGTATTTTTAGTAGAGACAGGGTTTTGCCATGTTGGCCAGGCTGGTCACGAACTCCTGACCTCATGTGAGCCACCATGTCCAGCCAAGAATTAGTATTTAAATTTTAGACACTCTTTTTTTTTTTCAGACGGAGTCTTGCTCTGTCACCCATGCTAGAATGCAGTGGAGTGAAATCAGCTCACTGCAACCTCCGCCTTCTGGGTTCAAGCTATTCTGCCTCAGCCTCCCAAGTAACTGGATTACATGTGTCACCATAGCAGCTGATTTGTTTGTATTTTTCGTAAAGATGAGGTTTCACCATGTTGGCCAGGCTAATCTTGAACTCCTAAACTCAAGTGATCTACCCACCTCAGCCTCCCAAAATGCTGGGATTACAGGTGTGAGGCACTGCACCTGGCCCCAGATTTTTGATACTCTTAAACCTTCTGATCCTTAGTTTCTTTCTCCAAAATACTCTTTCTAGGTTTAAAAAAAAAAAAAAAAAAAAAAGCTCTTTTTTTTGGTGCTATGTAAGTGAATATGTAAGTGAAAATGTAAGCGCTATATAAGTGAAAATGTTTTTTAGGTTTTCTTGATTTAATAATAGAGACAGGGTCTCCCTATGTTGCCCAGGCTGATCTCGAACTCCTGGGCTCAAGAGATCCTCCTGTGTCAGCCTCCCAAAGTGCTAAGTAAGATTACAGTCGTGAGCCACCACACCCAGCTGTAAAAATGTACTTATTTTCCAGCCTCTTTTGTATAAACTGTAGTAAGGGATGGGAGTATTGATGTTATCTGAAAATAGCCACCATTTACCCATAAGATAAAACTTGTTAAAGCATCCTGAGTCTAACTTAGTGCATCAGGCCCTTTTTCACACAAAAAAATCCTTTTTGGGATTTAATGGAATCTGTTGTTTCCCCCTAAGTTGAAAAACAACTCTAAGACACTTTAAAGCAACTTCTTGGCCTGGGTTACATAGTTCCCAGACTAGGTTTCAGCCTTCTGCTTAAGGCCAGTTTTAGAAACCCGTGAATTCAGAAAAGTTAATTCAGAAATTTGATAAACAGAATTGTTATTTAAAAACTAACTGGAAAGATTATAAGTTCTTTCCGAATTACTCAGAAATGATGCATCATTTTCCTTCAAGAATGACAGGGTCAGAATGTGGAATCCAAGATACCTCTTGACTTCCTCTCAAGCTCTGTGTTTGCTCAGTGGAGGCCCATCCCAGCTCAGCATGTGTACTGAGAAGTGTTGGTTTCTTTGGGCCCCATCTACCCTGACCACATTATGATGTTCATCTGCAGCAGTTGCAAGGTGTTCAGAGTGTGTAAATACAAATGGCATAAACACTTTAAAAGTGCAATCCTCAAAAGGTTAGGTGGACTCAAGCATTCTGTAAAGCAACTATTAATAATGAGCTTACAGTGGATAATTCATTTGAATTTGAAAAATACAGAAACGAGCCTGTCATACACCAGCAAGAGCTATGGAATAAAACTACTGATGGAATTAAGACAGTTGAAAAGATCAAATGCCAAGCTAAATGTATAATGAACAAATTGAAGAAAAATAAAGGACTACAGAAAGTTCAGGACATCAAAGAAATTAGACAAAACTCATCTTGACCCCTCTTGCAGGCAAAGGAAAGCAGCTGGAAGAAAAGATGATACAGCAGTTAAAACAGGATGCAGACGTGGCAGAGGTTTCTTAAAAAATCTCATTGTCTATAACCATTTCTGTATTTACATTTGTGAAAATCTCCTTTGGAGACTTAGAACCTCTAAATTATTGACTTATTTTTTATATAAGGTCACTCAAAGGTGATTAAAAAATCATCTACATTGCTGTCTACAGAATGTCAGATAATATGGATGTTTGATTGCATCTCATTGTTAACTCTTTACTGATAGATATGTTTGTAAATACAGAAGTGAAACGTGGACGTAAAATAGTTACACTATTTGGTTAATGGTACTAGGCAACATTTATGTAATGACATTCAAAAATTTGTGGCTAGTGATATATATAAAGTAAAATTTTCTTTGCAGTAAAATATGCCCTTTATTATAGAAGGGAGGATATAAGGAGCCAACAGTTTGTATGAAAATAGCTCAAATAATATCTTTTTATTATTTCTTATTTTGGTTTATTAGCATCTTAGAACAAAATGGCCTTATATAATGAAGCCTAGTTATGCTGGACTGTTTCGACCTCTTTTAATTGTTCTGACAGATAGCTGGGGATGAGAGCCAAATAACATTTGCCTGAAATGACTGATACTATGTACTTTCTGCTTGCACAAATACTCAGTTCTAACTTGTGATTCCTGGTAGAACAAGCTTTATTTTTCAAGCCTAGCACTGATCTGGAAGCAGATGTTATCTCGGTGCCTTTTACAATTTGTTGTATGTGTGTTTTTTTTTTTTTAAAAAGGCCGCACAATAATTTTGGAATACATATATGGGTAGAACATCTGTCTGTTATTTGCACACAAAACCACTTTTAATGGGTACAAAGTTAAATGAGGAATACATTCTAGCTGAAGTATTATCAACTCCAAATAACGCTTTGAGGACCTCCAAAGGTAAAAGTACTAATCCCTTTGGCCATTTATTGAGAGAGAGAGACACACACACAGTAGGGTGACTGTAGTTAATGTATTGAATGTTCTTGCTACAAATAAATGATAAAGGTTTGAGCTGATGGGTATGCTAATTGCACTGATTTGATTGATACACATTGTATGTGAAAGTCATACACCATAAATATTTACAATTACGTATCAGTTTAACATTTTAAAAAACATTTCTAATGTAAAAAGTACCTCTCAAACTGTGGATTAGCTTCTTAATTTATATTTAGATATGAATCTTAAGTAAAATAGTGAAAATAACCATCTTGATTTAGTGTTTTTCTCGTATGTGAATTGTATATACTTAGGTGAGGACAATAACATCAATTGAACTGTAAGCTTAGAATAGGACTGGGGTAATTTTGCACAGCAGCTTGGAACATTGTTGCTTCAAAAAACTCTCTCTCTCTCTCTCTGTCTCTCAATAAATGGCCAAAGGGATTAGTACTTTACCTTTGGAGGTCCTCAAAGCATTATTTGGAGTTCATAATACTGAAGCCCAGAACCAAGTAGAACCTTTCTTTTTCTGAGGAGTATTGTAGCATAAATGTGATTATAAACAAAGTACACTTGATATATGTATGCAATGACTGCTATTTATACAAAATTTAAATCTGCAAATGGAATCAACATGTTTATGGGTTATTAAAATTATCTCATTTCGTAGATTCTTTATAGTACACGTGTTGAAAATAAATGATTAAGTGATTAAAAAAAAAAAAAAAACAAGTCAAGGAATCAAATGAGCAAGGATTTCAACCAAGGAAAATGGCTCATGATAGTAATTCCAATTCATTTAACAAATATCAATAGAATGCTTACATGTACCAGGTACTATGCTAAGTTCTTGCCCAGGTTGGAGTGCAGTGTCTACTCACAGGCATGATAATGGTACACTATAACCCTGAACTCTTGGGCCTAAGCAATCCTCCTACTTCAGCTTTATTATTATTTTTCTATATTAATTTTACATTTAAAAATGCCTATCAAACAAAACACAAAACAATTAATTTGCTTTCCCAGATTAAAAATTAATCAAAGACACATAAATTATAAGAAATCCTAAAAGGTAAAAAATAACCAGTGCTGAAGCATTAAAGACAGTTGGCATTTTTAGTGGTGTATTCAGCATCATTGCAACATAAATAGATATATTATTTATGGTAGTCTAAAAAGCATCATTAAAGATTTAAATAAATGTGTGTGATTTCTTTTAGACATTTTGAAGTAACAGCTTTTTTCCCCAAAAATATCCATTACTACCATTCTGAATCACTAATGATGCAAAATTATGATCAAAATAAAACAAAAAAAAATTCAGACACATATATACTACATATTATATATACAGAGATAGTATCATATAAATCTTAGACACTATTCCTACAAACACTGAGGCTCAATTCTCCACTAAATCATTTCCTGGTGGTAAGATATATTCTGATGAGAAGCCATTAAGTTTCTTATTCACCACGTAGTACAGGAATCAGATTGAGCTCAATTTGGGGTTGTCTCTTCTTCAGATGATACTAAGTAACTCAGCCCCAGACATCAGGGTGCCACTGACTATGCAGTATGCTGAATTAATCATAAAAATTAACACCTTTTGTATTTAAGCAGCTCATATCGCTCACAAATTTCTCTTTAACAAAGAAAGGCATGCATTTCGTACATGGGTAGGAAATCTAGCAGAAGTATACATAGGACCAGCCAGCGCCACACTGCTGACTTTTTATCAGCAATGAATACATGCCGAGCAGCCACTTCCCACTTTTCCTATTTCCATACTGCCCCCATATGCCAACCTGTGTTCAGATGATCACTTTTACTCAACACTTAGCCTCCCACAAAGCAATAGTGTGCAAGGTTTATATAATTAATGTTTGTGCAGGGCTATTAAAGCCTTGTCTGAAAGATGCCTTTGAAGAGGAAAGGATTGTTGATACTATGATGTCCTGGATTTGTTATCCTTATCAAGACTGTTTCTGTGAGGAAAAGCTACAGCAATGATAGATGGAACCACTTTTATTCGGCACACTTACAGGTGGCAAAACACTCCTGCAGGACTCAGGCAAGAATGTGTACCAGGGCAACATCAACATGCTTCCTATCAATCACTATGAATTCAGGTACCGTACTTTATAGACCAGAGATAATGTTAATTCTATCCTGCTTACAGTATGCTCTGTACTAGAAAAGTTTGAGGTGCCTTGCAAGCACCATAGTTTAGTGAAGCATGAAATGAAAGCTACACATAGGAAAGTTAAGGCATTATGAAAGTTTAAGACATTATCTTTATTCAGCCATTAATCTAAGCAGGGTTGACATTTGGTGCTAGAAAATATTTCCTTTATGCTACTGTTGTTGTCATTTAGGAAAGAAAGAAAAAGGAAATTGATCTTCGTTGCATATATACAATGAACTATATGCTGCCAGGAGTTTCACATTTAAGTTACTTGATCTTTAAAACAACTCAGTGAGGTATATTTTTTAGTTGAGGAAACCAAGACTCAGAGAGAAAAATTAACATGGCTTAGATAACATAGGCTACTTAGTGACAGGGTCATGAATTTAACCCAGGTCTCTATGATTCCAAAACCAATGCTTTTCCCACTATATATACAAAGCAGAAGAACTAATATTACCCATCTAAGTTTCTTTCTCCTAGGATTTTATCTTTACTTTTAAAAAGAACAGAAGTTCTATAACTCACATTCCCAAAGAAATTATTCTAGAATAATCCATGAAGCAGTCTCATACCATGCCAACCCTCATTTCTCTTTCCCATCCCTGATCTGTGCACTGCAATATAGAACTTAGCATTTGGTTACTTACAGGAAGATTTCATCTTAAAATAGTACCTGATTTACACCTACCCACTGCCAATCACACATGCAAACCACTTCCCATTTCCACCATCGCTGAGGTCACTAATGTCAGTACTATGGTAGGAATTCCAAAATAAAATAAAATCAATGGATTCATTAGTGAAAATAAAAACAATTTCTGGAAAAAAACAAAAAACAGGAATGCCTTAAGATAGCATGTATGGGCAGCCAATGCAAGAAGCTGGCCCTCGATTCAAAAATATGTTACCCATGTGTAGAAAAATTTTAAAAGATACTTTACTATACTATTGGAATTCTACAAAATAGAAAATCATTTAAATTCACAAACATCTTTTTCCTAAAATACACATTTCACCAAGAGGGCTAAGAGGATGTAACATTCACAACCTACAGACAATTCGTTCAGATTGTTTCTTCCCAATACCTCTATGAGATCAATTGCACTGAAGGAATGTCTATTTTTACTAGAACGAAGGTGGAAGTCAATAATTTTGAAGCATGGGTTAGCTTGAGAGGAGGAGAGGTTCAGGGATCAGGTACAAGGCTTCGCTTGGGCCAGGATAAAGGTACTCAGTATTAACAACCTGAGTAGCATTACTAGATTGTAATAGAGATAGAAAGGGACATGAAAGGATGTTAAGAAGAAATTAGGGGGATTTGGGAGAGTTTCAACAAAATTATTCTGAAGTTATTCCAAAAGTATAAATACAAGGGATGTCCTTAACAGAGGAATAGACTAACAAATGTGGTATACGTACAATGGAATATTTTTCAGCCACAAAAATAAATGAAGTTCTGATACATGCTACAGCATGGATGAATCTTGGAAACATTATGCTAAATTAAAAAAGCCAGACCAAAAAAGGACAAATATCATATGGTTCTACTTCTGTGAAATATCTAGAACTGGCAAATTGGTAGAGACAGAAAGTAGATTACAGGATACCAGGAGTTTGACAGAACGAATAATGGGAAGTTATTGCTTAATGAGTACAGAGTTTCTGTTTGGGGGTGACAAAAAATCTTAGAAATAGATAGTAGTGGTGGTTGTACAATATTGTGAGTGTAATTAATGCCACTGAATTGTACATTCAAAAAATGGTCAAAATAGCAAATGTGTATATATTATACCACAATAAAAATTCTTTTTAATGCAAGGCACAAGTCAAGGCAAAATTTTAAAAGTAAGAAGAATGAAGATAGCCCTTGCCTTACTATTAAAATACATTGTTTTAAAATTACAATAATTCAAACAGATGCTGACACAGATACAGAGAAACAAATGAATGGAATTAAATAGTAAGTCTTTAAGCAGACCCAGTTCTGCACATGAATTTGGTATGTAATGAAGCAGACATTTAAGTCAGCGAAAAAGTCATGCATGGGCATCAACAGTTGATAATGACACAACCAGCCATTTGAAGGAGCAGCTGCTTCACAAGGATAGGAATTCTGCCTGTGTCGTGCACCAATTATTCCCTAGGCAAAAGCATGATACCTGGTACATTGTAGACATGCAGTTAATGTTTTCTTGAATTAATGGACTAAAAACAACTCTTATATCACAAAATATATACCAAAGTAAATTCTAAAGTTTTTTTAAGTGGGAAAAAATATTAAAAACTGATAAACTTTGGGGTGGGGGAGGGGGCAGGGATAGCATTAAGAGATATAGCTAATGTAAATGACAAGTTAACGGGTGCAGCACACCAACATGGCACACGTATACATATGTAACAAACCTGCACGTTGTGCACATGTACCCTAGAACTTAAAGTATAATTAAAAAATTGATACACTTCATAAATTAGAATATAAAAATTTCAACATGTACATATCAAAAAGTTCATAAGATTTTTTAAACAGCAAACTGAAATAAATACGTATGTAAATTTGTGATATATGAGGCAAACATTAAATGCCTTGATTTAAAATAACCACTTTTAACTTTCTAATAACAAGATAATTATTTCAAAAGCATTAAGTATACTAATAGTCAAAAAAGTATAAACAGCCATAAAGACTACGAAAATCTCTAACATCATTAATAGTAAGAAAAAAACTAAAATTAAAATGATAGATCCTATTTCACCTATCAGGTTGGCAACT